CTAAAGGTCTAGTTTTGGGAGAGGCTTGGGGGTTCATACAGTAGTTCCTATTGTGGGCTACAAATGGCCGCTATAAATTATTATATAGATTTTAGTGTGGGGATGCTTATCCGGGCTCGCAAATGGTGCTCAAGTTGTCACGTTTGATACCGTAGGTTGGGTAAGATACCACACCCCCGGGACCGATTTTCAAAGCTCGATTGCTCCATGACGAAGAGGATGCCGAAGGAAAGCGATACGTGTTCGGAAGGCTCTGGAGGCGACGGTTCCAACCCCGCCATTTTCGGCACCGTCCCAGCTTTCCTTGCCGAGTGATCGAGCTTCGAAAATCGGCCCAGGGGGTGTGATATCTTGTGCAACCTACGGTTATATTGTTGAGCGTGAAGTTCTTATTAGCTGCCAAGTTTTTGCGTGTGGGCGCTATCTGCAAGAATCGTTTCTGGCTGCCTGCTGATGCTCTCAAGGCATGCGACGTCCCCACACACCAGACCGGTACAGTAGGCTGTGGCAGTTTCGAACGGTGTGGTTGGTTTCGGCGAGCTGTAGCCGTACGCAACTGATGGCGCACGTTTCTGCGCGTGTTCGCCGAAAAATGTCTGCTGGAGCATTGTGCTCAAACGTAAGTTCGAGCACCTCGATCTCGTGCTACAAGGCCCCTGCTGATAATCAGCACAGCGTTAGTCGACGAGGTTTCTCAAGGTCTTAGGATTTCTCCAAAATATGTACCGTGGAGGTTTGTGTCTCCTAAGGCTTAGCGTGGGAGGGGGGAGGTATGGAGCGTACGGCAGTTAATGGGAAGGTGGGGGCACCACCAAGGACTTTTGATCGACAAGTTTGACCTGTGAAAAGAAGAAAGAGAAGAAAAAAAAGTTGGAGCAGCAAAGGCATCGTGAAAACTACCCACCCCCAGGTACACCGGGGACGGCGCCCCCTGCGCTGGAGCCAGACGTTCCCCTGAGTCGTTGTGTCACTCAGGCAGAATCTGTTTTTTTCTCTCTTGCGTGGCTTGTCTTGGTTCCTCGTCCCTAGGCGATATAAGAACCTACAGCCCAGCTGGAAGGGTGCCCCACAGCTAGGAGTCAGTAGCAGAGCAGTACAGCCAGGTCACTTTTTTTTTTTTGCGCTGCTGTCTCGCCGCCGTACCCCTGCGCGTGCAGAAGGCCCAGTCTGATATCTCTTGGGTCCACACACGACAAACACAACGTGGATTCACTAGATCGTACTACCATAGCCGTCGGCGGCACGATACACACAACTTGAGCACAGATCGTGCTACTTGTACTGTCTATCCTGGCGCCAATGGACTGCTGTCTACAGGTTCTTTTTGGTTCTTTTTGGTTCATTGAGGCTCGCTGGGCTGTTCCGTGACGAAAACACATGAGCTGTGTGTAGCTGTTGAGCTTGGGAGACGCTGGAACTAGCTGCGGGCGGTTCCTACCTGTTGTTATCGCCACTTTGTTAGCAACACGCCTGATCATGTTGCTGTGCTCTCATGATACGCCCTCTCAGGAAGGTCGGTTGTACAGCTTTCGATGCATGCGTGACGTCCCAGCCAGGGTCACACATTCAGGAAGGTTAAAACACAGGGACATTTTGTTTTGTTAATTGTCCCATGTCCTCCCCCCCCATGCTGCTTGCCGTCGTATGTGGAAGCGAAAAAAAAACACGCACACACCTCACAATAGCTCTCGTAACACGGGGACATTATTTTTGTGTTGTGTCCCATGTTTCCCCCCGCTGCTTGCCTTCGTGTGTGGAAACGAAAAAAACACACACACACACACACACACACTCACACACGCACGCACACAACACACACACACAAACACACACACACACACACTCACTCACGAGTAGCTTTAGTGTTTTATCACATCCACACCCACAGCTGCGTGTTAATCGCCGCCGCCTGCAACTGAAAACAGCTCCATCGAACGCGAGCTACTATCGACAGCAACTGCTGTATGTCTATCTCACCTGCCTTGTGTGTGTTGGAAGCCTGCGATTTGCTGCTGAAGTTGTTTCTTTTTTCTGTTGGAAGATTGGTTGGAGCTGCTGTTGAAGTGGAGGCGCGTGCGTGTGGGTGGCATACCCCGCTTAAGGCTGAATCGTGCTTCTGCGTGATGTGTGTGTGTTTTCGTGCCATTTATCCTATTAGTGCAAGTCTAGACTCACCTCTCGGTGTTTAGCGTTTTGACGTTTCAGCGGGGGTCACGCAGGAGGAAGGTCATACTATTTTTTTTTTTGTCAGTATGATCCAACGAATCCATCTCTTTGTTTAGAAATGAGTCATAAGATAGATTAGGAATGGATCCATAGCGCAGCGAAAGTTCTTATTTTTGGTTGGAGTGTGAAAAGCGATGAGGACGGCCGAAAAGCATGCCCACTGGTGCCCCCTTTTGCGAACCCGAGTCCAACAACTGCTTTCTGTCTCACCTCCTTCCCGGGACCCACGCCTCCGCCCGTTCTTTGCGTTCCGCTCCCCTCGACCAGCTCCAGTCATGGCAGCAGGGCCAGTGCATCCCCACTTCTGATCTCTTCGACCGCGATGTGTGTATATGTCTGTTGCTATGCGTAGATGTTGTGGTTGTTGTACTAGGGGTGTTACCGGGTGTAGACTCGTATTTTGTTAGTGGCTTGTTTGCGGGCTTTCCCTGTCTGATCGGGGCTGTAGTCTTCACAGTAGCTAACCCTTCTGGTCTCTGCTCAGTAAATACCTGATGATATCCGTACCGGTCCAACTGACGCCTTCCGTGGTAACCCGCCGATTTACCCACAAGAGCGTGCACTTGTTTGGAGCCATTTCCTGCTTTATCCACGGCTTTTGCCTTCGAAAAAATCTGCCTTAATAATACATAGCTCGTGCTGTGGGTCGAATCGTGCCCCTTCTAGAAGCACGGGAGGCACGCAGGCAAAACACACTGCGTAGAAGTTGTTTAATTTTCTTTCAACTGTAGGTCTAAAGCTCAGTACATTGGGTGTTTTTTTGCGCTATTTTTCCCCCCATTTGCCCCCCCTCTCCGGCGTGTCTGGTGTTTCCCGGTGCTTACCGTAAACATTCCGTGAGGTATCAACCCCCGGTTTTTTCCCCCACGCCCTGTGCGATAGGTGGCGAGTTATCAGGTACAAGTAGGGCGGTCGAATTTGTTTCCAGGCCGTGCAACACGTAGATTACCGCGTACCCGCGGTTCTACCATTAGCCTCTGGGCAAAGAAGAGTTTTTTTCACACAACATCGGCGACCTTCCACATAAAAATGGTGTTGACTTCCGTGTTTTCACATGGTATCCCCTCGTTATCTCGCGCCCTTTGGGGGGGGACGTGTGCCGGAACCTGTGTTTGTTCTATACAAATGGACTGCAATCTTTGTCGCTCACGCTGGTAGTCTCCCGCACTCCAGGAAATTGCGGAGCGTTAATGGTCGGGCGAGCTTCCGTGTGGTGCCACCCTCCGCTGTTTGTTGCTCCCACCAGTGCTGTCACATATGCTTTCGTCTGGATATCGCGTGTGGACCTCTTTTTAGTCGTTGCACGTTCAAAATTGTGGTCATCATTGGCACACCCTTTTTCCGTACACTCTGGTAGTCACACACACGCTCCCAGCAGAGACCTTAATTTCTCCCGCTGGCACTGAGGACTTGTTTCATTGGTCAGCCGGTTAGCTCGGTTGATGACAATTCTTAAGAAAGCACACACGACCCTACGGAGCCCCCCTCTCTCACACCGCTGTTTCGAGGTAGATGCCGCACCAGTTTACGGGACGAAATCACGCCGCCCGGGTGTCTCTTACATACTCTCGTGTCTTGAAAACTCTCATGAAAGACACACGTTCATGAAAGATATTGTAAGGACGCTAGATTACGATTGCGAACACTGGGGTTGTTTGATACAGGTCGTACTTTCTTTTTTTTACCGTTTCGAGGACGGTTGGATAGAAGGTACTACAAGGCTTACGGAGGGGGGGGGGGGGTGCCCTATATATATCTTGCGTTCGCTCGGCTTTCCGACGGCTTACGACACGTTCACGGTGCTTTTTCTTACCAGACAAACCATGGTTCTTTACTACCGGACAAACCATGGTTCTTTACTACCGGACAAATCATGGTTCTTTACTACCGGACAAACCATGGTTCTTTACTACCGGACAAATCATGGTTCTTTACTACCGGACAAAGCATGGTTCTTTACTACCGGACAAAGCATGGTTCTTTACTACCGGACAAACCATGGTTCTTTACTACCGGACAAATCATGGTTCTTTACTACCGGACAAACCATGGTGCTTTATTACCGGACAAATCATGGTTCTTTACTACCGGACAAACCATGGTTCTTTACTACCGGACAAACCATGGTTCTTTACTACCGGACAAACCATGGTTCTTTACTACCGGACAAACCATGGTTCTTTACTACCGGACAAACCATGGTTCTTTACTACCGGACAAACCATGGTTCTTTACTACCGAACAAATCATGGTTCTTTACTACCGGACAAACCATTGTGCTTTATTACCGAACAAATCACGGTACTTTCTCACCGGACAACCCATGGTGCTTTATTACCGAACAAATCACGGTACTTTCTCACCGGACAACCCATGGTGCTTTATTACCGGATGAATCACGGTACTTTCTCACCGGACAACCCATGGTGCTTTATTACCGGATGAATCACGGTACTTTCTTACCGGACAAAGTCTACTTTGTTGGGCGCGCGCGCGTTCGTGTGAATTAGCTCGTGTGCCTGCGCATTTCCCGGCCACTCAGGACGCGATTTTAGCAGTGCACATGGGGTTGATTTGGTACCACCACCACCGCGCGAACACAGTGCGTACGCGCGGCGCTCGGTCCGACGGTCCTCTCGCGGCCGTTTCTTAGTGTTCTCCTTGTCCGCAGGTGACACCTGTGTGTCTCTCTAGGCTGCGATTGGCTGACGTCATCCCTTCTTCGACCCCTTGGTGTTGCTCGTCCTTCGTGTGGCAGCTCCAGTCTTGGCAGAATGGCCAGCAGCCTCCCCCTCAAGAGGCTTTCAGGCCCAGAGGCGACGCCGCTAAAGCACAACCACAACAACAACAACAACAACAACATCTCCAGGTGGGTGAAACCGGCAATATCGGTTGGCACGAGTTTATTATCACATTTGGTTCCGGTACACATTTTTCCCGTCCGAAACATCGTTGCACAAACCCCTTTTTGATATGTTGTTTGTACCTGCTAGTTTTGGTGGTTTCTATTTTTCGAGTAGTTTGGCATGGGATCTGCTAGACACGTACATAGCCAACAGCGATATTTTGTCAAGGGTGAGGCGCAGAGAACTCGATTAGTGCAACTTGTTTGTTGGTTTGTTGTCGTTGTTGTTATTGTTGTCTTTGCATCAGAACCGTTCCGATCTCCGCTCAGAACCTTCTGACGGTTGTAGTGCTGGTTCAACTAATTTGGACGCGTTCCGTGGTCACAGGCCAACCGCAGCAGATACTACCGAAAGAGGGGTATCTACGATGAACATTACAGGAACCCGGAAAAAAAAACGTATCCGAAATAAAAGATATCGGTCGGCAGTGAAAGGAACACGTAAACCGGCTCCGTTGTTGGTGTGACTTTTCGCCCCGATATCGTTGCTCCGATTTTCGGCAAGGCAGTTCTGAAACTCGCCCTGTAGGTTCCGTCTTGGTTTTGACTTTTTTTTTTTTCTTCTTTTTTTTTCGTTGACATGTGCATAGTCATGAATGTTTTCTCGGCGACCCTGCGGTGTTGATGTGTTTCGTAAGCGACATACGTTAGTGGTATGCATGGCCTCCACCTCCACCCCCGCCACGCGCGCTGACGAAACCACCTTTTCGCTCCGCAGGGAAATCAGCAGCAGGCGGCGGGCGCATCGGCCAAGCCTGCAAGCGACCCAGCGGCGTCTCCGGTCGGGGGCCTGATGGACTTGAAAGGGTAGGCATGCACGTGTGCACTGGCGACCGAATCGCGTGGAAGCAAGGTTTATTCCGATGATGTTGCGTCCCCAAAACTGACCACATTCGACCTACTGCATATTGCAGGGTATATTCTGGTTCAACATATCGTATGTGCGTGCTCGTGCGTGTGTGCCGTGCGTATTGGTTTCGAGCCGACTGATGGAAATATGCCAATCTCGATGTGTGCATGTCTTATTGTTTTTTTCAGGTTCGTCGGAGACGACCACCTGTCATCGCTAGAGCAGAACCTGACCTCCCTCGCGTACAAGAATAGCATGGTCATCGAGGTTTGTGATGCTGCCGTTGCTTGTTGTGTTCGTTTCTGGTGTCCGTTGCTGATGGTGTAGGTTTGGCTACTGTTGCATTTGCTGCTGCTGCTGCTGCTCTAGGTGTTGTTGAAGTGGGGGGGCGGTTTAGCGACCCCTGGTGTCACGCCGAAGTATGCCTGCTTTTCAGGGCATGTCGGTAAACCGGGTCTCCCAATGAATGTACTGTTGGTGCTGGTGCTGTGCGTGATGTTGTCGTTGCTGCGCTGTGCTTGTTATCGTCGTCGTTGTTGTTATCATTATGTTCACGGCAAAGCCAATCTACCCTTTGCATCCCGTACGTCGCGTTGTCTTTGCTATTAGGGAACGAACATCCGTCGTCTACAACTTTTTTCATTTTTTGGAAGACCCAATAAAAGTGCGTGCGACTCAAAGAATGTCCTCTCCTTTCCTACCGTGTCACAGAAGATGGACCAAAAGCCCCCGTTCAGTGCGTCGATCGAGCAATGGCCGCAAGCCGGGCAGGGGCAACAGCAAGAGCAGGGGGTGACGGGCGGGAACCCCGGGAAGGACTCGGCCTCTTCTCTCAACGGGTCTCAGGTGTGCTGTTGTTATTGTAGTTGTTGTCGTCTTTTGTTGGTGTTGTAGCTGTTGTTGTCGTAGATGCTGCTGCTGCCGCTGCTTCTACTGTTGATGTGTTGCTATCGCTAAATTGGTTGCCGTTGGGTGCTGCGGCTCTTGTCGTTGTTTGAGCTGCTCCTGCTTCTGTTGATGTGGAAACGCGGCCCTTTTTTTAACATGTGCAATCGCCGGGCTCTCACCAGAGACCGCGACTACACCCCCCGCTCAGTTGCGGGCCCTCCCCAATGAATTATTGCACCACGACCCCCCGCGCCCAAACCAAGATGTCCGCTATGGACGTGGGAGCAAACAGCAGCAGCAGCACCGGCACCCCTTCGGACGTCGCCGCCGGTGCCCCGCCCGCGGGTGGCGGGCCTGCTGCGGCCGGTACGGGGGAAGGAAAGGAGAAAACGGGCCGAGATGGGGGTGCTGCTTTGAACGACGACCACCCGTTCGAGCATTTCATCGCTAACTTTCTGGATCAGGTGTGTAGCTGCGGGTAACGTTTTATGTTTTGTGTGCCCACACAAGAGAGAAAGTGAGAGAGAGAGAGAGAGAGAGAGAGAGAGAGAGAGAGAGAGAGACGGACAGACAGAGATAGACAGAGATAGACAGAGATAGACAGGACAATGTTTGGGTCATGCGTTCCTTTGTGACGACTCCGGCTTAGGGGACACCGTGGCATGGTTTGTACCAGCACCGGGCAAGCCGTCGAACGCAACACCTCACTACTGTGGTTTTAGGTGTCTCGTCTACCATGGCATGAGACCGATTCTCCTTTTCCAAAGGAACATGTTACACATGCCGAAGGCAAGCAGCAAAAGGAATAGCCCCCCCCCATACACACTCCGAGGGTGGTGCTAAGACCACCAAGTTGCAACACGTGGACTGGGTTAAACGCGGGGAAGGCCCTTTATCGATACGAAAATGGTGGCTCACACATACACAGCTGTGGCGGTATCCCTTCGACGTATTTCGTTTGGACCTACCATGTATGACACAAGCTAGCACACCTCCTGGACCAATTTTCAAAGCCCGATTACGCCGCGACGAAGAGGATGCATAATGAAACAATACATTTTCGGAAAGCTCTCGACGAGACGGCTTCAACGCCACCTGTTTTCGGCGCTGTGACTCTTTCTGCTGTTGAGAAATCGAGATTTGAAAATCGGTCCAGGGGGTGTGTTATCTTGTGCCATTTACGGTGATCTTGTCGAGAACGCTATGTGCGGCTTCCGGACCGCTCGTGCATCGTTTGACGGCAGTGGATCTCGTGGGAAGATGTTTCTCGGCCTCCTTCCATCTCTCTGCAACCCCCCGTTTGCCGTATCGAGTTTGTTTTTGTCACACCAACCACCTCAACCTCCGCCGTCGTCTCGGATCAATCTCTCTTGCTTGCTACCATCACCACGGGCTTGCTACCCCCCCCCCCCCCTCCCCCCCTCTCTTGGCT